TGAATAAAACTATGGTTCGATTCATTTTACATATGTAAAAATTCGATTTGTATGTAATGTCGCCGAATAAAACTAAAGGTTTAATTCGATTTAGTTTAAGTGAAAAAATTGGTTAATTATGGAGTGCTCAGTTAAGTTTGATCATCCCAGTTAAAAAAAACAATTGAAAAGGCTCAAAACAAAACATCTTAGACAATTCAAAGATCAAAAGAAGATTTATATATTTAATTAAGTAAGCAAATACAAAATCTCTTCTTTTTTTTTCTTTTACATGAATGATGTCTTCTTTCTCAGCCCTCATTCTCTATGAAAGCTCGTTCCATTGCTGGAACTCATTCGTGTTCGATGAATCATATGACACTCGCACCAAAATAAATAATTAAAAATATTCCATTATATCACAATAATGTGATGGTATTTGAAATCTCGTCGTTGAGTTTTGCACTAAATAAACATTTAAAATATACACGATATGAACAAATAAACCATTAACAAATTGGTTTACACATTTTTTTGTTCAATAATTGTCAACACTTGTAATCACATTAAAACTTGTTCTTTTGCTAACATCGGAGACAACAAAGATGATTTCTGAATTGTTTAACGTGTTCTTAATCGCTTTTGGCAATGAGATTGATGTGACGAAAAAAAAGAGTTTCCGCCATCGGCTAGTGTTTTGTGGGAGTCTCGTTTACTCAAAATAAAGAAATTAAAGAAAAGCTAAAATCACCCTGTAAGCAATAAAACATATATTTTGCTAGCATACAATTGGTCAAAAGAAGCTTAGTACTGGTCTCCGGTTTTCGCTGTTGTTTTCTTTTTTTTTTCCTAAAAAAATACAAATTAAAGAGAAACTAAAATCATTCTATAAACAACACAAACATAGAGAGAATCTTATTCTTCTTTTCGTTGAAATAAACTATGTACCTATCTTCGAAATTCAACTAATAAAATAAATAACAGAAGACTAAAACAAAGAAAGAACATAAAAACAAATAAAAAGACACGAAGAAAGAAACAATTTTGATAAACGAAAAGAAGTTCTTACTCAAACAAAAGTTATTATTTAAAAACAATGAAAAGATTTTTATTGAAAACAGAAAGAAAAGACTTATGAATTTTACCCAAGAATCTCAATGTAGCCATGTCGAATGAAAAGAAAAACGAACAAAAGGGAAATCAATCAATGAAAAAAAGGAAATCAATCGCCGGTTTCAAATCAGCATGGTGTACTATATCATCATTGCATTTAATCTTATACAATAAGATTAATTGTAAGAACAAAAAACACGGCATCAAACAAAACCGACGATTAAATGATTTGCCGTCATGGCACAACCGTTGTTCTTCTTAGTCACGGAGCTAAGTGAAGGGAGGTAAAAAAGAGATAGGGTAGGAAAAAAGAACATACAACAAACTACGACGTCAAAAGTGCAAACATATAGTAGGAAAAAAAGAAAGAATTAAGAACACACAACAAATCATAAACGTACAGTGAAATTCTTCCACTAATATATGATATCAACAGGTACATGAAATCTCTATACGCATACATATTTGAAACACCTTTTGAACATAAAAAACACAGAAACGACACAATAAAATATTAATATAAATATAACGATGATGTAATGAAACTAACCTCGACGGGGCGACAAAAAACCTGTAAAAAAAAGTATAGTTTAAAATAACAAACGTTAACGTTCTTAATA